GATACCACAGTGCTTTGTAATCTTTAACGTTTAACTGGAATGGACATCTTGTTTGTTGGTTTAAACGTGGCTCCAAATATGAAAAACAGTCAAGATCAGTCTTTGCCAAACTAAGATGAATCATCGAAACCTTCACGTTTACGCATAGGCTCTTCTACAGGCCGTTACTGTAAGCCATATGTTGCTTGAATTACAGGCAGTGAGCTAACAGCATGAATGTTTTCCACCTTAAAACTTCAGATAGTGATCTTTTTTGTCTCTTCTGGTTCTCTGTTTAAAAAAAAACTTTTGTGGTAATTCCCTATCACATTTGTAACACCTTGAGTAATAGATGTTAAAAGATCTTAAATTGTTAGTTATCCCTTTTAACACCCACTTTTAAAGGATGGTGAAGTTTATTTCCAAAGATGGAAAATCAACAACATGGATAGTATGGTTGGATAACTGTACAACACATAATTCTAGCTGGCAATGGTAACAATGCCGTTTGTTCGGTACCATTAAAAGAAGAAGAAAATAAATTCACCCCAAACTCTTTAAATCCCTCAATTTATTTACTTCAATCACATCACATACCAAGACAGTACACATCTAATGCCAGCAGCATTAGATTTGGGCTCATCTTAGAATTTGTCCAAGTCATTTATTTTGACCGCTCTTCGTCTCAGTTTATAGAGAGTGAAGCTTTCTATGCAAACACATCTGACACTGGGAATTTGGATGGCTGCATGCTGACCGTTTAAACTTGGAACAGCTTCTGTTGAACAGTTATCCTAGAACTCGGGCCTCTCTAGACAGCTCATGGCTGATTTTTTAGTAATTTAATCACCTCTGTCTGCACGCATTTCTCAGCTGGAGTCCGGTTTTGTGCTGTCCATCTAGATGTTCCCATGTTGTGTTAGTAGTGCAGGAGTCAGCACCACTCACAGTACACTTATATTCAGCATATTTGAATTCATATACTGATTTCAGTTTCAAGAGTTAGCTAAACAGTGTACATTTTGAAGTAACCTTCAGATGCTTAGAACAGTCTCCAGGAGCAGAGAAAAACAAATGGAAGGCATTTTCAATAAACCCTTTGTTGATCTGATGCAGGTTTCTCCTACTCGTATCTGCTGTGGTATCCATTTATGAGCTAAGTATGTGTCAAAATGAGCCGCCTTGTAGAATTCAAAGCGAGGAGTTCAACAACACAATGCAAGCATTTGTGTGACAAAGATCTGAACTTGTTTCTACATTTTCTCTTGTAAATTTACACATGCAAACTGGAAGTTACACAACAGTGAGCATGTCAACTATCAACACCTGCAGATTCTGATATCACCAGAATGCTTCTAAGACCGATTTTACTATTACGCTAGACGGCTCTTCTCATCTCTTAACCGTGATCCTGGATTTACTTCACACATGGATTTATCAAAGCCAGGCTTTAGAACCTTAAAAAGTCACTTTCCAGTGGTTGCGTCCTTGTACGGGATCACTGGCATGCCTGACGTCCAACAAGAGCATCTGGAAATCCCTCACTGATTGGATTACCCATCAGTGACCTCCCCCTCCCACACACACACACACACACACACACACACACACACACACACACAC